GAACGTTGCAGTCCTCCGTCACTGAAGCAAACAAGCCTCATGTTCGCTTCAAGCTGCCTGGCTGCCGGCCGCCATCTTGGCTGGCAGTTAATTTGCATATCTCCCTGATTAGCCAATGGGAAGGGTAGCGGACGTATGGCTAATTACAATGTTTCTCTTTTATTAGGTAAGATGACAGCATGCATGACAAAACAGAGTAAAATTTTACCTCAAAATTGGCATTTCCTAGTGTTTGTCTTTGAGACCCGATGTTGGTTTATTTTTCAATTTTCATAGAGTAATGATTTTGCTCACTTCTGTTCTTAATTCCATGGCTATTTGCTTTTCCTGCCCTTCTTTCCTCCTGTAAGGAATCGAACCTGCTAAAAGCTATTTTGTCTTTCTTTTTCTTTCTATGGAATATTAGTTTGTTAACACTTTGCAGTCAAAGAGTTTTTCTTTTATTTATTTTTTCCTTTTTATCTTTGTGTCTCTGAGCTCATGTTGGTGTTGGAAGAATATGATGCAGCTTTCCTTTCTCTTAGCCCTGGTGTCATCTACATGTGTGTCCTTCCCCACTATGAGTGCTCTGGGATTGCACAGGGGAATTTCACAGAATGTCCCTTGTGTCCACTCCTTATTAGCTATGTAACTTTTTAGATGTTTCCTTGTTTGTAAAATGAGGAAAATACCCCCGCCTGCCTCATGGTTTACTGAGACTGTGCACCGCAATGTACGGGAGGTATCAGGTGGTAGGTAGCATTGGGCACTGCCACCTCTTTTTTTTAAAAATATATTTTACTGATTTTTTTACAGAGAAGAAGGGAGAGGGATAGAGAGTTAGGAACATCGATGAGAGAGAAACATGGATCAGCTGCCTCCTGCACACCCGCCACTGGGGATGTGCCCGCAACCAAGGTACATGCCCTTGACCGGAATAGAACCTGGGACCCTTTAGTCCGCAGGCTGACTCTCTATCCACTGAGCCAAACCGGTTAGGGCACTGCCACCTCTTTTTCACTTCTGTCTCTGCCCCATGCATGTTCTGTGCACATTAAGCCCTCAGTTAATATTAATAAAGGGAAACTGGTGCAGATTTTAGTCTGTGCACACACAGTTCTGTCTTTAATCAGGGTCATGATTTGCTCTCCTCTGAATAAATTTTTTTTTAAATTATGCAGCATTCATTTTTGGAGATTTTATTAATGTAATTTTTTTACGAACATTTAAAAATTATTTTCCTGCCAAAACCGGTTTGGCTCAGCGGATAGAGCGTCGGCCTGCGGACTGAGGGGTCCCAGGTTCGATTCCGGTCAGGGGCATGTACCTTGGTTGCGGGCACATCCCCAGTGGGGAGTGTGCAGGAGGCAGCTGGTCGATGTTTCTCTCTCATCGATGTTTCTAACTCTCTATCTCTCTCCTTTCCTCTCTGTAAAACCTCAATAAAATATAAAAAAAAAAAAAAAAAAAATTATTTTCCTCTAGTAATATTACCTCATTTTTTAATGCTTTATTTTTATTTGATCCTAATGAACCCTAAGAAGTGGTAGGACAACTTTACTCAACCATTGAAAATGAGAAGTTAAAGTGTAGAAACTAAGTGTTAGAAGTGGCTTCATACTTATTGAGCATAGTTCTATGCTCAGCACACCACTTGTTATCCCATGCAGTCCTTACAGCACCACAATGAGGGGTAGCCTTTGCTCTCCATATTTTACAAATGGAAGGTACTGAATCTGCAGGAGGTAAAGCACAAGGCAACCTTACAACTTGTTGTCCAAATCAGGACACTAATGAGTGTGAAAGGGAGTGCTGATATTGTTTACTTCAGGGCAACACGGGCAAACTAGGATTGCTCCAGCAAGCCAGAGCATGTGATCATCCTACTTAAGGAACTTGCCCAAGTTCACATAGCTAATCAGTGGCAGAGCTACATTCGGAACTATAGGCTTTCTGACTCCAACCCATGTTCTAGCCCATCTTGTCTTGAAATGTCTCGTCCATATTAGCTAATTCTCTGCAGGGTCACAGAGAGCCAGCCATTGCTCCACTGAGGTGTGTTTTAAACATGTCAGCATTTCACTGACCAGTGGCATGGGCCCTTGCTATGAGCTCCTGTTTGCCAGCTTGACATGGCATGCTCCTTTCTGCTGAGGCTGTGCTGTCATGACCAGTCGAAGACCAGCTAGCCCATGGAGACAAGCTTCCTGTGTGATGGCTGTGGTTTGGGCCAAAAAGGCTCTCTGGTCCCTGGATGAAGCTGCTTTGCGTTTGCTGATTCAAGAAATTTATCCAGTTTACCTCCAAGAGACTTGGAGTATAGATCCTAGAGAACAGAGACGAGTGAGCTGGAAATGGCAGCGGAGATTGGTCAGTGCTGCAGAAGTCACAAAAGCCTAAGAGCACCAGGAAGGACCCTCGGCCCAGATGGCAGGAAGGAGTCCTGAGCAAGGGCTGTCGACAAGGTTCTAGGTTGAGTTGGGGTCAGAGAAGGCAAAGGGCCTTTGGAGTATTGTATGAAAAGATCTGGGAGAACATGGCATAAGTGAAGAACTATAGGTAGAAAGGTATGGATTTGGTGTCACACAAGTATGCCTTTTGAGCTCTGGTGTCTTAGATTTGATCTTGGGAACATTACTTCATTTCTCTGGACTCTTGACTCTTAAATGGGAATTCTACTTATCTTCCTAGGGGTTTGTGAGTTGTAAATGAATACACGTAAAGTATTCAGAACACTGTTTTGTTTTGTTTTTTTAGTGATGTAGATTTCAGATCAAGATGTTTGCATTCTATGAATTTTGTAGTTCTGACATTCAACAAATGAGTAAAGCCCAGATGATATTTTAGAGTGATGACATACCCTGAAAATAAAAATCTTTCATAACTTAATACTTACGATTTTTATTCAATTTAGAAATAAGAGTTTAAAAGTTGAGTTGGCATACCCTGGCAAAGTGAGGGCTTTGGCACACCAACCCTTAGTACTGGGAGGCTCAGGCTAACATCTGGGCAATCCCAGGCTAGGACTGGCCAGCCCCTCAGTGGGGCTGATTTCAGGTTAATCTTCTGAACCTTAGGTACTATGTGCCCAGGATTGTTCCTGCCCTGCAACTCAGGATGGTAGTGTCTTAGAATGTGAAGGGTTGTAGAGTGTGCTCACTAGAGTGCATCACTCAGCTCCTCTCCTTGACTCTTCACATTTTAATCGTGAAGAAATCAGAATAGTTGAAACCATACAATAATAGAAGTGAATTATTATTGTCCCTTTGCTGCTTTTTTGGGATTATTCCCAAAGTTATCCTGTATCTCCAAAAATTCATTAGTGGGGCCTTGACTTACGAGTTTAATTCATTCCGTGACGGAGCTCGTAGCTCACATTACTCATATGTCAAATCAAAAAGTGAACGAGTGAGACACGTGATGCTGGGCTGATGTTGTGACGTTCGCTGCGCCAACTAGCGGTGAGGTATCTGAAGCTGGCTCGTAACCCGAATTTTAGCTCGCAACTCAAAGCAAAAAATCGGCTAAGAGACGGCTCGTATCTCGAAAAACTTGTTAGTCGGGACACTCGTAAGTCAAGGCCCCACTGTATTGTGTTAAACTTATCTGTTGAGGTTTTGTTTGTAGTAGATTTTACACTAGTAGGGAAAATTTCATAAGAACTTTTTAAAAACTTGCTTCCCATATTAATAGCTATTAATAGCTTTTGATATTTTAGTGTGTCTTACACGATTTCAATGTGGTTATTATAAGAGCTTAAAAAAAGAAAGAGAATTTTTAGTGCCTTAATAGTGTCTTAGTGAGAATGTTGTGATCAATTTAATAGGTATGAAAATTGACATCCAAGTTGTAACTTCAACTTACAAGCCTTCTCTGCGCCTTTCCTTACATAGTGCACAGACACACTATGTGAAGATCATCCATTGATACTCTTTTGCAAAGTATCAGATAATCTTCCCTTTAAAAGATAACTTTGCCTTAACACAGGAATACTTTTTTTAAAAAAAACATCACCTCTTAAAATTCAAGTAGATTAACCAGGAGATTCTAAATTAATGTTGGCTGCATTTTCCATTGCCCCCAAATACTCTGTACCCCAAGAATAGAGTACAGTGGAGTCTTGGTGCATAAAACCAGGACATTCCCTTAATTGGGAGCTTTTGTTAGTGTAATTAGCAGTCTGCTTGTTTCACACAGGCTCCAGGGCAGCTGATTTTTATGGACTCTGCACTCCGATGCTTGATAGCAAGAGTACTGTTCTTCCAGTGAAGGGCATTTGGGACTATGAGTGGTGACTTTTATATGTGGAAGAACAAGGAATTTCATCGTAAGAAGAAAGTGTTTTTATATTGTTCTTGCTGGGTGGTATTCACATTTCTTGCTAAGACATTTTTCCTTTGTGATCTGAAGTTTAAGGGGATGATGTTTTTTGGAAGAATTTTGAGCCCTGTTTAATTGTTACTGTCTTGTCGCCATTGTTTTCCAGCATCCTCCAGGACAAATAGCAAGGAAATACAGCTCCTGCTCCACTATTTTCCTAGACGATAGCACAGTCAGTCAACCAAACCTCAAATATACAATTAAATGGTGGGTATACAGATTTTTGCTTAAATGAATGCTTTTTCTATTCCTAACTGGTTGGTTGTGGGATCTGGCAGGGGGAGGCCATTGACTATGGGAAATCTTTTTAAAATGTGATTTTGGTAGTTAAAATGTGGGGTGTTTAAAATATTTGTTAATATTACCAGTTAGGTAAAGAGACCAAATTTTGAAACTATTTTAAATATAAATTAAAGCATATTTTTTATTTTTGTGCATACTTTCTACCTTCCCACTTTTTATTAAGGCTATCCTTGCATGACTCTGCTAATATTTTACCTTCAAAATAAATGAGATTCCACTTTAAGACTTGGGGCTACAGTAGAAAGCAGGCCTAACATAATTGAAAGTGTTCTTGCCCACGATCGAGATCTGAGGTCTGACCTCAGCTCTGTCACCAATGGGTGAGGGTTTGGATAAGACCCTTCTTTGGGGGATCTTATTTTCAAGTGGGGTTTAAGGGAGGAAGAGGAGTCTTGACATAAAATCCTTCCCATGTTGGGCTTCAGTTTTTATGTTTTAAAATGGGAGGTAAGAAGGAAGGAACACTGCTTTTCCTGTAATGTTCCCACTAGCATTTTGATAACAGATCACAGAGAACCTGATGTGCCAGGGTCTGTGGTCTTCGGCTCATCTGTGAAAAATCTGGGGTATTTTACCTCTATATTTAAGAAAATACACATTTAACAACAGTGCATAGTAGTGTTTGAGGTAAGTGTTTACATTGCTATTAGGAAGTATTCTATCTCAGTGGGCCAGATTTTCTGGCTTAGAAGTCCTGTTCTGAATGTTACCACATGTGACAATTAGTCACAGCCTCAATCAAGCAGTGGGGACTGTCATGGTCTTCTGTGGACAGGGTTCACTCCAGGAGGAAGGTAGAAGTTTGACCACTTGGAGAGAGGCTGCCTTCTCTGTTGTGGGGTTGGTATTTCTAGGATCTAAATGGAAATGAGGCTTCTTCCCTCAATACCTTGGTGTTAAGGGCGTGGTAAGTGAAGAGTGGGCATAAACCAACCATTGGGCATAAACCCAAACAGTCGGCTACTACAGATGGGAAGAGGTGTGCACATGCCGCTGGCTGAGCCACTTCCTGCCCTGAGCCTAGACTTACTGCCAGGAAATGGGAAGTATAGCATTTCCTAGGGTAAATGATTAGCAGTTGTGGAGAGGAGTGGAAAGCCCTGAACATCCATGCACTATGTGGCTGTTGGCATCTGCTCAAGCTCTGGAGCCCAGAGCGAAAGCCACTAACTTCCTTTAATCCTGGAATCATCTTCATGGGGAGAGCAAGGCAGAGTGGAGTGGAACATGCCTCCCCTTTACGGCCAGTGCGAGCTTTTGGGATTTACAAGTGGATCTGAATCGGTTGCTCAATGGTTCATCCTTGGATGACTTAAAATCACCATTGGTTGTAACATGGACTCCCACTTAGGAGTGGGCAGGGAAACTGGATGACAATTTGATACTTTAGTGTCAAGTCTGAGAGGTGCAATCACCGAAGTTACAGCTATGCATCCTTTAAATCAGTGGAATCAGCTCTGGCTGTGCCTGGGAATCACCTGGGAGCTTAAAAACACACTGACGTTTGATGTCTCACCCCACAGATCCAGTGTATGGATTTTTAGCCCCTCCAGGACAGTGGTCGGCAAACTCATTAGTCAACAGAGCCAAATATCAACAGTACAACGATTGAAATTTCTTTTGAGAGCCAAATTTTTTAAACTTAAACTATATATAGGTAGGTACATTGTTATTAACTTAATTAGGGTACTCCTAAGGCTTAGGAAGAGCCACACTCAAGGGGCCAAAGAGCCGCATGTGGCTCACGAGTCACAGTTTGCTGATTGTAATAGGCAGCCAAGGTTACGGACCCCTGATATAAGTGGACAGCTTCTTTCCCCTCCCTAAAGTTCCCTTGAAAGTTTTAAATAAAATGTTTTAAATAAACTGTAGGGTAATACATGGAGGGAAAAGAAGCTGAAAAGCTAGACCAGTTAAGAAGGCTGACTTGGCTTCCCTGATCCAAAAGACATTTTCTCTGCACCACCCAAATTTCATATTCCTTTAGTCAGTAGTTTAGTTGTTTTAAAAAGTGCCCTGTTTAAAAAATGTACATGTTGGACCTGAGAGCCCTGAAAATATAAGGGGGTAGGGAAGATGCTAAGTCTGAATGCTCTCATCTTCTAAAATTTTGCCTAAACCTTATCCTACTCCTGTCTTGGCTCCCTCCCCCTAGTCATTAAAATTGATTACACACTCATTAATACAATAGTAGTTCAACTTTATTGTGGACATGGTGAGCATTTGTGGGCTGAACTTGCTTCTTGAAAACCAAGTATTCTTTTGTTTTTTTTGAGAAAATTCTCTGAGTTCTAAACAACCAATTTATATTTTTATTTTTAAAAGAAAATGCTTCTGTAAATTGGTGAAATGCCAAAATGAGGAAACATATTTACAAATTTTAGGTTACTAAGTGGGGGGGAGGTTGGGTGCTATTCTAACAGTGAAAGAAAAGCCTAAATATAAAAAGTTTGGGCCCTCTCTCTGTGTTCATTTTTTTTCATAGGCGTGATTTCTTTCTCTTTTTTTTCCTTTAATATTTTTTAAAATTGATTTTAGAGAGAGGGAAGGGAGAGGGAGAGAGAGAGAGAAAAGCATTGATCGGCTGTCTCCTGCATGACCGCCACCAGGGATCAAGCCCTGAAACCCAGGCATGTGCCCCAACCAGGAATCGAACCCACCATCTCTTGGTGCATGGGATGGCACTCAACCAACTGAGCCACACCAACCTAGCCATAGGCATGATTTCTTGTTGGAGAATTTGGTTTTCCTATCTTTCGCCTAAATACCAATGGCTATGATCTGAATTTAGTGTTCACTAACCAACCCCTCCGCCAAATCCTATAAGGAACAAAGGGGTGTTGATCAAGGAAAAGGTTTTGGGGGAGGGGGCACATTTATACAGCTGGCCAATAGTACATGGCTCTGGGCCTTTGAGCATCAGAGAGTACTACTTACCCACCTGTCTTTATCTCTGTGACTCAGCACCTCTTGATTTTCAAAGGTCTTAGGATCCTCACATGCTTTGCTGATTTAGTTCTAGGTAAGAAGTAAAACAAGCACAGTGCCAATTATTACAATCTATTCTGTTTTATTGGTCAAGAAAATAGCATTTCTTTCTTCCCAGTTTTGTGGCAAAAGCATTTAAGTAAAACCTTTGATCCAAATATACTTTTGGTTTGGTCCCTGCCCATCTTCAGTGAAACCTCACCACTTTCTGAGGATGTGGCAGAACTGACTAGGCCTCCAAAGCTAGACATTTGGAGTGGAGCCTGACACCCGAAATTAAGTTTTCAGCTGTCTGCCTTTTGCCCCCAGCAATCACTTTCTTTCAAGTTAACCAGCGTAACTGCCACAGGGAGCTGGACTGTACATGCATTCTCAGCTTGATTTTCTCGCTTTTTAGGATATGACCCCGGAGTGGAAATTGCCCTTCAGAGTGGCTCTATTTTTCTCGGAAGTCTGAGGCCACAATAATGTCCTATCTTGTTTTTGGCTCTGGAGGTTTGGGCCCCTGAAGATTTTCACTCAATCTACAGAAGCCAGTAGACCTCTTGAGATGGAAATATTGATAGGGGAATCACAATAATAATAACTTTAGTTTTAGAACTTTATATTTGAGATAATGCTTTTATATATTCCATTTGTTATAATAACAATTCTGTGATGTAGGTTGAATTGTCCTAATTTTATAAATGAGGAAATAAAGGCTCTGAGAGATGAATGAACTATAATAAATGAAGGAGCCAGATTTGAACCCAGGTTGCTTTGATTTCCAGTTTAGTGATAGTTTTCCTGTGTCACACTCCCTCCCAGGGGAAACAAGAACCATTTTTTCTTCAATCAAAGCGACTAAACTCATCACTTCAAGCCCAATCGTATGAAGCTTTCAGCTTAAATCTTAACATTAGATTAGCAGAGCAATCACTACAGCATGAAAAAAACAGTAATTTTCTTTTTTCCAGGTGCATTGTGGTAGAATGAAAGGGCACAAAACCATTACACAAGCCAGAAATCCTGGCATCTGATGTCTGAGCCCAAATTTTCTCATTTATAAAATAGAATCAGTAACATGTATTTTTTCATGTATTTGAAAGCTATATTATTATTTTTAAAAATTCTGAAGCCTTTTTACTTCAGTTACAATTCTTTCATGAGCTTAGATTCTTTTCAAAATATTAGGAGAAAGAGAATATATTACTATTTGCTCCTGAATACTTTTTTAAAAAAAAATATATATATATATTGATTTTTTACGGAGAGGAAAGGAGAGGGATAGAGAGTTAGAAACATCGATAAGAGAGAAACATCGATCAGCTGCCTCCTGCACACCCCGCACTGGGGCTGTGCCCGCAACCAAGGTACATGCCCTTGACCGGAATCGAAACTGGGACCTTTCAGTCCCCAGGCCGACGCTCTGTCCACTGAGCCAAACCAGTTAGGGCTGCTCCTGAATACTTTTAACAGCTGAAATTATTTGAATGAATAGATCTGGGGAGAAATTTGGAGGAATATACATTTTCTTGTGATACAGTGAGAATTGGCTATTGTCATGTTAAATTATTGGTAAATCTCTGAGCTAGTGGAATCCAGCATGCATGCCTAAGTTTCTTAAGAGGGTGCCTTAGATCCAGTTTCTGTGCTCTGAAACCCAGAACACAATCTGATAAGACTAGTTACCTCTGTTCTTGGTAGCTTAAAAAATGAATTTTGGCCTCTTCAGTAAATTTTAGAGTTAAAAAGAAAATAGTGGTAGGAGCAAACAAACAAAAATAGTGAAAGGAGCTAGTCAGTTTACAAAAGAGGAAATTTTAAAAATTGGCCAGTTGATATGAATAAGCCTGCCAACTTGATAGGTTATGAAAGAAACTCAAATTGAAAACAGGTACACCATTTTTTAACCTACCCTGTTAGAGAACATTTTGTCAAAACATATAAGGTGAATGTTAGCAAGGGTGAGGTAAAACAGACACTGGTGGGGAAGTCTACTGGTATAGTTTTTTTGCAAAGATATTTGGCAGTGTATGTGGGGAGCCCTACAATTATTAATGACTTTAGACTGAGTAATTGCAATTACAAGATGTTCTTTTATGGAAATAATGTACACAGGTTGCACACATATTTATCTCTGAGAATATTTATTATGCTGTTAATTATAATTGCAAAGTATTAGAAACAAATGTTCTCTAGGAGGGGGAATGGTTAATAAATTATTCAACAACTATATGATAGAACATAACCACTTAAAATCATATTTTTAAAGACTATTTTAATTGCAAGGAAAATGTTAGATAGAATAAAAGTAGAACACAAACCTATTATATATAATGTATAGAATCTATGTATCTCAAGCTGATAGTCATCTTTGGGCAAAAGGATTATTTTTACTTATACTTTCTGTGTTTTCTAAAATTTTCATCTTATGGATATAATGCATTTTATAATCAGAAAGGGGAATGTCTTCATTAAATTAAGATCTTTTAAAATGTAAAATAAAATTTGAAGATTGTATAACAAATAGGAGTTGCAGTATCATTTCAGCAAGTGAGTGAATAAGTAGACCAATTGCCATGATGTTGTTGATTTAAGGGAAAAAATATCAAACCCCTGTGAGTGATAATCACATTTTTCTGGTAGTTACAAAGAAACCACTACTTTTCTAAAATAGTAGGTACTGATTTGGAGATTTCTAAAGGTGTTTAATTTGTAGTACTGATTTGGAGATTTCTAAAGGTGTTTAATTTGTACCACCTGTATTTGTACATAGTGCTTGTATTTTACAAGTGAGAAAAGCTTAAGATTTCAGGTAGTAAGAGAAATTTTTAAATATCACTGAAGTTTCGGTATTTCTGAAAAAGATTTAATAATTTCTAGGAATGAGTACCAGATTGATTTATTTTAAAGAGACCATTTTTTAAATCAGCATTCTGACTTAAATGGGACTGTTCAGATGGATTGTTTGACTTTTACTTAAATTTAAATATCAGACTGATGTCAGATAATACGTAACATCTTGAGTATGCTTATGAAACATTGAACTGCATTTTATTTTACAGTGTAGCTCTCGCAATATATTATCACATCAAAAACAGGTATGTGGATGATTAATTTTTTGCTAAAAACATTACATTTTATGTTTTTTGTTCTTTTCCTATTATTTTCTTGTTGCTTTGGCCTTCAATTTTCAGAGATTTCTAAAATTAGTATAATTTATCAAAACTTCTCAGGTAAGTGCTGAATTGCTTTCAATTCAAAGAAAATCAGATGGGTGTCTGTGTTTGAAGTTAGCAAAACAAAGCAAAGCTTCTTGATAATATTTAGCCTCCTCTTTACTCTTTATTTCCTGAATAATTTGTTTAAACATTCTATCTTTTATAAGCTATTATATAAAAAATTTACTGTATGCTACATTAACATGAAAAATAATGTTTAGTATTTTAATTTAGTAGAAGAAATTTTGGGTTAAATTTAGACATAAATTACATTAATGGTTTAGAAACCTCTCTGACATGAGTATGAAGATTGTTCAGTTAATTTAATAGGGAATCAGAGAAAAATCATTTAAGAATATACCATTAACATTTTATTTGAACACTAAACATGTAAAAGTACATTCATTTTGCCATTTAAAAAAATTTTAATGGTTTTTTTTTTATTTCAGAGAGAGGAAAGGAGAGGGAGAGGGAGAGAGGGATAGAAACATCAATGATGATAGACAATCATTGATGGCTGCCTCCTGCACACCCCCCACTGTGGATTGACCTGGAATCAAACCCTGACTTCTTGGTTCCTGGGTGGACACTTAACCACTGAGCCATGCCAGCTGGGCCATTTGCCAATTTTTTAATGTAGCATCAAGACTTTAGTTTTGAGCTGGGGCATTGATTAAAATACCAAAATGACTTTCTTTTGTAAGCCACACCTGTAATTTATCCTTTTCCACAGTGTTTTGTTTTTCTTTAAATCAATATCAACAGAACATAAGACATATGCAGAACAATCTGAGCATAGAATCTTTCAGGTTTTGACCACACAATGAATTTATTTTTAGAGATGGCCTCTTATTGTGTCTTTTCCAAAGCACCCTTCTTCATTTTCATAAGAACAAAGCCACTCTCATTGCAGTCTTATTAAGTGACATTTACATATGTTATATGAATCTAATAAAAACAACTTGGGTGAAAGAATGAAATTCAACCCAATAATGCCCTGACCAGTGTGGCTCAGGTTGGAGCAGTATCCTGTGCACCAGAAGGTCTCAGGTTCAAATCCCAGTCAGGGCATATACTTAGGTTGCAGGTTCTACCCAGGTAGGGACAGGTAAGGGAGGCAACCAATTGATGTA